TACCTTCCTGACACGCCTCTTCAGACACATAAGGAGACAGACCCTTGTTCCACTCTCAACAAGAGCTTTGCTTGTTCAGAACAGACTGTTCTGTGGTGCACAGCCACCCCCCACACTTTAAAATCCCCATACTTCAACTCCCTGTTTTTATTACCTCTGAATTGCAAGTGAGCTATAATTTTCAAGGTGCATATTCTGGACTAGCTGGGATTTGACAGTGAGGTGGTGTTAACTGTCAGTCCATCAGTTCTGAGTCCTTTCTACTCCTCTGCCTGCACAGGTCAGGGTAGTGGCTTGTGCTCAATCTGGACTGGTGATGCTCCATTATTTCAGAAAGCAGCATTAGGGCAGCTGCAGTCAGGTACGTCCCAACTACAGAGAGACCAACAAGCAAAGAGTTCAGGCAACTGCTAAGAAGCTGGCCTAGACACCAGAAAGTAGAAGCCACAGAGATTGAAGCACCCCAAGTGTTTGTTGGGGGAGACACCAGTTTTCTATAAAATGGATCTATATGAGCATTTGTATTTTCCTTTTAAAACAAGCTGCCCCAAAAGGCAAAAATTTTGTCAAGCCTGAGAATGTTTTAGATTTTCTTCCCTGTTTTACCTGATAGTTAATTTCTATTTTTAGAAAACATGGTAAACATATTCTGTTTTATTAAAGTCCTGCAACTTTATAACAGACATAAAAAGCTCCCAGGATAGAGAATGAGTCAGGATGATTCTTACACTCATAACTCATTTGAGCACGTACACGTGAACATACACTACAATGGAACAAGTTCTAAAGTGAATCTAAAAGCAACGACACACTGCTCAAAAACATCCTATAAGCATTTTCTCTCATTTTATTGTTTTAATTAATATTTTAAATTCTCTCAGGCCATCTATTCATAGCACTTGGCATAAGCATGAGCATGGAATCACACAAACACACAAATACCTGCACACTGCACTGAAAACTGTTGGGTTCACAGTGCCCTGTATTCCAGTTCCTTCTTGAACCTCACACTAACATCTACCATTGCTTCTGAGGTTAAGCTTCAATTTTTCCCAGACAAACAGGAGAACTCCCTGCTGTGCAGATACTCTCCCTAAGAGATGAACATCTACCCTGTCCCCCAGCAATACCCAAATCCTGAACAAGTTTCAGGGGACAGGCTCAGAGCGCTCCAAGCTGGGCTGAGCACTCAACTCCAGCTCTTTGCCTGACCCTCCTGCATTCACCACTTCTTCTTCTGATATGAACATTTCCTGTAGTGCCCCTGGAATACCACTCGAAATGTATGAAATTAACTGAGAAAGGGTTGGTATTTTTCATTGGGTTTGGGAGGGTTTTTTTCCAAAACAAATTTATACTACACTTCATGGGCTTCTGCAACTGTTCCATCTTTTTATGAGCTAGAGCAGAACAACCAATTCTAAACTGCACAATAAAACCCAACAGCCTGAATGCAGCCATGAAATAAAAATATAATAGACCCAATAGCATGAATAATAATGAAAGGGCAAAAACAAGGAAATAATTCAACAGATGTGTGACATTTTTGTTCTTCATTGCGGATCAGTTATTCTTGTTAATTATATCACCTATTCTTCCCTTAACATTGATAATTACATGAAGCAGATGGAGAACAGAATGCTCCCAGATGGTGAGAAAGCAAACAAGTTTACAAATTGTTTATTTATGAAGAAATCATTAAAAATTATTTAATTATCTATAGTTTTCTACTCCATCAATAATGACATGCACTGTAAAGGCCAGCAGCACTTTATAAGGTATTCACGATTCTGTTGTAACCAACTGGTTTTTAATGTAACATGACTGAAATGACTGACAGATGTGCAAACCACAATAATAATCTAATCTGTTTTAACACTGGGGGAATTAAGAGCTTGAATCTTTGGATCTTCTGCCAATTGGCGCTTCAGCACTGGTTGCTGATTCCGAACACAAAAATCAGAGATTTCCTTTTGCTTTGGAACAGCTGTATGAAGTGTTTGATCTAATGAGCAGGCAGGAGCTGTGTCAGGTCTGTGCCCTGAACCCCAGAATGTGGCAAATGAAATTCTGAGCTAAGACGTGGCACCTCTGCTACACCTGCTGCTCAGCAGGTATCCCCAAGTCCAGGCACTTCCAGGACCGGATGCGAATTCCATGGGCAGCATCTGTGCTATTCCAGAGGAGTGCAGTGGGAGACAGCAAGTGTAATGCCCAGGGCTCCCTCTGCACACTCACGGAGATCCTGAGCCACCAGTGGCCCACAGAGACCCACACACAGACCAGGAGCTGTGCTCGGACACCACATGGCTGAGCTGCTCAGCCACAAGCTGTTACTGGGGAAAAACACACTTTGCAGCTAGAACAGGAGAGCAAGAGCTCAAAAACGGCTGGAACAAGAGGAAGGCAGCTGAAAAAGCAGTAGATGAGAGGCAGATGTTGATGGCTCAATATCAAGGGGCATCTTGTGGGTATCAAAGCAAGAATATCACTACAATTATCTCCATTACAAGCAACAGATACTCAAGCAATCAATTAGGGCAGGCAGTCAATGAAAATTTTACATTTCTGAACTGCTCTGTATTTACAATCTTTATCTTGTAGTTCACATGACAAAGGCTGCCACCATTGCAGAGCTCTCCGAAGCAGCAATTACAGCAATAACCTGTCCTCCAGCTCTCAGGAGCAAAACGGGCACTGCTTCACATCTGGAAGAGGTGCTTTCAAATAGGAGAGGGCAAAGCCCCCTCAGCTCAAACCAGCTTGATGAGCTGGCATCAGTGTGTGATAAAGAAATGAGGAACAGTCTCCACCGCCAGGAATCTCTGTGTGCCCAGATCTCAACATCCTGAAAGATCCTGCCCCGATCTTGTTTAAAACCACCAAAACAAAGATGATAGGAGAAAGTGTATCCTTACTGCTATGCAGGTGCTGGCTTCAGACATCTTCCCACCAATTCCTACTCCAGACTCTTTGCCTTCCACCTTTCTTCCTCTCTTCTCTAAGTTTCCCTTAAAGTATTGCTTTCCCATGTCCCTTTTCCCTCACTTGCTAGCCTGTTAGCATGTTCTACAACCAAAATACATTTGACCTAGTCTCACAGTACTTTTTAAGGTGACAATTCCCAGCCTTTCCAATCTGCAGAGCTATCACATTTATTTCCTCAGTGGGACACGTTGCTCTTTGTCACACAGATTGCACCTTGCTGTTTACAGAGGGCCTTTTGAATCATTACAAAAAGGCAGAAAGATAGTAACTTCATGCCTATTGAAATCTGATTATATTAATTTACAAAATACACCTCGGTTCATTTGTAACTTCACTGCAGGATTTGGTAGGGCAGTGCAAGGTTATTGATGGGGATCACTCTTCCTTGACAAGGCTCTGAGCAGAGAGAGGGCAGGTGCCTTATGCCTGGCTGCTCCCTGAGCTACAGACCAGCTCCTTCCTGCTGCGAGTACCCCCTGGGCTGGGGCAGGCTATTCCTTATGCCACAAAGCTTCCCAACACACAGTGGCCAAAGGTCACTTCAGTCACTCGACACAAGAGTCAATTTAACTTCATGTGGTTTCAGATTCTCGGTATTTCAGAAAAGTCAGCAGCAGCAGCAGATGAGCTTTATCCTCAAGTTACCACCCAGCACTCAGCCCCAGATGTCCATTCTGATAGAGCACAGTCTGTCAGAAATCCATAATTCATGCTGGGCCAGATGCATGGATACTTACACAGTGACAGCCTTTAGGTAGGGATTTTTGTCAGAAAAGGTTTTAATGAAAATCTCACATTATTAAATAGAAATTCAACTTCTGAGATTTTAAACAATTATGTCACTACCTACAACTCGCAGAAAACCTCAGGAAGAACCTGGGAACAGAGAAACCAACATATTTGCAAATCTTTCAGACACAGGAAGTCTGAGATTTTCCAGCTTCAATGAAAATGCTAAGATGAGCTCTTTTAGTAAGAGAGCAACAGCTCACTTTAAAGATAAAATAAAAAGTAGTTTAAAGAAAAGCATCAGACAGTTCATTCTGCAGAGAAGAGAAAGGCAGGGATGTGCATGTGGAGGGAAGACTGTTCAAAGCCAAACTCAACAGCCTCAGCCATCTTTTGGATTTTACTTTGCCAACTGCTGCCTAATTAAGTTTTGGGTGCCAAAACCTACTGACTAACTGAGAAAAGGACAGCACTAAAAATATTATATGGGAACCCATCTCAGCCAACTGGAAGTTAGTACAGACATAAAGCTCCCTAATTATGTTTCTCCATGAAATTACAGCTACCTACAGAGAGTATCTATCACTAATGGTGTTTTCCCTAACATTTTAGCTTCACTGGTTATTCTTTTGAGGAATCATCTACACAGCAAATTTTAGTTACTTAAAAATGTAAGAGAATCAGGTCTAAGTGATTTAACAGATGAAACTTTAAGAGACTTTTCATTTAGAACCTCCAGACTGCAACAGTTCTACAGAAATAAGAATTTTTGGTAGCAAAATCATTTTCCTTTGCTGTTAAATCAACTTTGTGTTTTGAAGTGTTCTTTGAGGGTTGGTCTCGTGCATGGAAGAAACCTGACTTCAGCACTGAAAAACAGAAGTTGAGTTAAGCAATTTCTGCAGACAGAGTCAGAAGCACGACACTGTCTTTCTTCCATTTGCTGAGCACAACCCCAAAATAAACTCAGCAGGAAGAAGGGCTGAACAGCAAGGCAGAGCATCTCCCACGTGCTGGGAGTTTGACTGTACCCTCGTGACAAGGTGCTGCTCCAGTGCAAGCCCAGAGTGCAGCAGAGTCCTGCCCAGTGGCCGCAGAGTGCCGGGTGTGCCAGCCCAGCCCAGCGGCAGAGCGGGGACTGGGAGGACTGGGAGGGTCCGGACACCCCGGCCGTGTAATTAAGGAGCAGCCCATCAGCACTCGGCCGGTAATGCCATCCCATCTGCCAAACCCTGCACGAGCTGGCACCGTGCCCCCTGCCTGCTGCTGCTTCTGTCACCCACCTGATCCTTGGAGAGCTGCTCCGACGGAGCGTTCATGCCAAGCTCTTGCAGAGGATAGACAATCTGTCGTCTGGGCCGCACGGGAGCCATGTAATGAAGGGCAGATGTCAGGGAATGGGCACAGGGGCTCTGGAGCTGAAAGACAGCGATCCATATTTCAGCAGAGAGGATGTCAGAACAGGGCAGCACAGATGTCTGCGGCATGGCTCTGCAAGCACACAATTCTTAGCTCTGTTGGCTAAATCTGAGACAAAAATCAGCAAATAAACAAACATACTCAGAGCAGAGGAATGAATTGCAGATAATTCCTGACACTAATGAAGATAATTATGAGAGTAATTACATTACTATCTCTGTGGGAATGACAGATAAACAAGTGGTTTGGTTTATGGGATTTTTCAGCACAAGTATTTTCCCCAGGAGGATATTTTTCTCCATAGTGATCATGAATCAGCTTGATTTGACCTCATTAAGCCATGTTATCTGCTCACTACTAACCTTTGCCTGCTTGGCAAAGAACAGTGATGAATTTATATAGAAATTCTGTACTGACTGAAACGTCTAGTTCATCCAAGTGATAAATGTTAATAAACCAGCAGAAATTTGCAGTGAACAAAACCCTAATGCTCATGTGAGCAGCCTGGATCATTAGAAATAGCTGTATCTGTCTATTACAGCATGACTAGCTCTGGCATAATTTACAACATGAAAGGCAAAAGGAAATAAGAGAATTACAAGAAATACAGAATGAACATTAATGCAAACTAAGTTACACTCAAGTGCCATTCAATCCACAAATATTAAAAAAACCTTGATGTTACTATGTTGAAAACTGAGTAAAACATCCCATTTACCACTTATTAGAGCAATGACAAGCTAAAGTAATTTAGAGGAGCTCTAGCCAGGAAATAGGCCAAACTGCAATCATTAGTAAGGCTTAACTTTTTTCATCCACCCACTGCCATTGAACTGTATTTCTGTAAGTGCCTCTTCAGAACCTCAGAACCTAATGCTACATGGGGACATAGGTTCCACAGGGGACACAACTTAACACAACTCCAGAGGTGCACAGGAAAACACATCCTTCTGCAAATGTACCCAGGTCTAACCTGGCAAAATTCCTACAGGAGAACCGGTGGTGATTTCAAAAGCACCCAAGTCCCCAAGGACAGAATCCATCTCAGTTACCATCTAAAGGCCAGGTGCTCAGAGCAGCCAGCCATGCAGAGCCCCCGAGCTGCAGGGGCAGTTCTGTCTGTCCTGAGACAGGCAGGGATGACCGGGGGATGAACTGCCCTCGGGACACACCCTGTGTTTCCAGCAGTGCTGGCAGGAGCCCGGCTGACCAGCCTGGGCCAGATGGGAACTCTAGATGGCTACACAGGCTTGTAAGTTTTACCTTGTGTTCCCTTCTTTGAGACCAATGACACAGCATATGTGAGTATTTCTGAAAGAATCTTTGGGTTTGCTTCCAATATTCCATTCTCCTCAGAAATGGATTTTCTCTGTTAGGAGAGATCCAGTTCTTATGATTCTCCTGTGACACTTGCAGAAACACAAGTCCCATTTTCAAAGCCAGTGAGGTGCCTGAGTCCCACTGACTTTTGGTCAAAGAGTCTAAAGCGCCTAATCGCTTTTGAAGAGTTTTTAAGCCACCAGTATGTGTTTAAGATTATCCTTTGCATTTACTCAGGGTACATTATCCTCATGCTAGGCAAAGAGCCAAAGCCAAGGACACTTCCAGTCTCTGTTCCCCCAGAAGCTTGCTCAAGACACTGGTGAGTCTGGACTCACATGTCACAGACCAGCCCCACTAGGTGACAGCTGTGCCCACAAGCGCAGATTATGTCAGGCAAGAAGAACAAAGCAGTTTGCTGCAGGTTGCCACAAAAACTCCTGTTTGCAGTCATTCACAGAAGCAAAGAAAAAAATAAAGTGATCAAAGGCAGCAATATTTAACACAAGAAACAAATTATTTTCTCCTTACCTTGCCTTCCACATACTGTGGATAAATGGGATAGTAAAGAGCAGATTTGTGTGCCAAGCGAAGAATCTCCTTTAGAAAGTGTCTTGTATAGCGATGAAATACAGGATTTAAGACAAAGTGGCAAAGATGTCCATGTTCTTCTTGCTGGTGGCAATTAAAATGAATAAAATCTTCAATGTTGTAACGTGATCGAACATACTCGATATCCTGGAAAGCGAAACAGTTGGGAATCAGCAGGGATCAGCAGCTACCTTGGCAGGATTTTAGCAAGGGCCGGTCCTTTCAATTAAGGAACATTTGAACACTGACATCAAATGCCTTTGTTCTCAATTAAATTTCATTGTATCAAAACCTATTCTTGCAGCTTGTCTGCCCTCATTTGCAAGGGATGCAGACCTGACCCCTTCCCACCAAGGTCTGACACAGATTTTGCTGAGTTCAAGAGAGAAGCCCAGACTGTTCTCTCACCAAATTCCAGCTGAAAAAGGGAACTCTAGAGGGAGCTGTGTAAGAAATACCCTCCAACAAGTCTTCCCTGTTGAACTGATAAGCTGATTTTTGCAAGTTTAGACACTCAATATATCCTCTTATCTCAATGCTCTCAATTAAACTAAGAGCTATTTTGGAAAATGACTGACTACTCTATTTTGAAAACTGAGCATTAGAGCTGCTGAACAATCTAAAGTCACCTTTTCAGTCCTAGCAGAATGCCACACAGGTAAGCCTTAGAGAATGTTTACTTTTCAATAATAATGTGCAACATGCTTTTTTGTACTCCATTAGAGCATATGCTGTCCTTTGTTTTATAGTGTGTGATTCACAATCATTCAATCTACTGTTGGAAAAAAAAGTTACAGAAGTAACTCTAGAAGAACTACTGCTTTTTACAGCACGTGTGGCTTATTGAGTTGGAAATTAGGGGAGAAATAAGTGATTAAACGTATTTAGAGGCAGAATGGCTTTGCACTAGAGCACCAAAAAAGTGCAGGAGGCAAACTTCCACAACACATCAGCAACTTCTTGCAAATAACAGGATGATTTCTATATCTGTGTGCCAGTCATGTGAGAGAAGGGGAGCAATACACTGTACATAGTCAGGACAGAGAGACAGGGAGATTCTAGAAACAGTATTTTTACAGACACTGTTAGGCACACATAGTGGGAAGCACAAAACTCAGCCTTTAGTGTGAGGGCCAAGTGACAGCGCTCATGGAACACAAACAGAATTTACCATTTCATCCCTAATGACAGAAACACCGACAATTTGATCCAAAACTTCTGCTACAAAAGCCTGTACTGGCATCCCATCCTGCAAGGCAAAAGCAACAGGTACATGTGTGATTTCAGCAGAAGCCTTTGGACGGTAGCAGTCACAGTTGAAACCACCCTCCTCCCAGTGCACCACCCCAGTTAAACCAGTGTGCTCCCAGCAAAGGGCACTGTTTGAGCAGTGTATATGGCTGGACTCTGGACACACAGACCTTTCCCACACTGAAGTTTCAGTTTGGACCTAACTGCTACAGGAGTGCTACGAACTCAGCCACTACAGTCTGGGTTCGGTCCTCATCTTAGGAAAGATTTGTACCCACGTTTGCAACAAATACTCACAGGATCCCTGCGAGCCTGAGTGAATATCTTGCAGTCATTCCATATCCTTTCACTCAAGCTAAGGGTTTCAACAAGTGTTTTGACACCAAGTAGGTCATTGGTTGTTGCCCTTCTTACATTAAATGACCTAAAAAGGAGAATTAAGGTTCACTATGACAAAGTAAAGACAATTGCCAGGCTTAAGACAACATGCCCTCCACAAGAACCTCCCACATCTTGCAGAGGTTGAAACTGCTTGCTAAATGACTGTTGTTCCAAATGCAGACATTAACCTATTGCATGGTAAGAGAAGATATCACAGAGCATCTGCTTGAGACAGCTCCAGAATCCTGCTTTATCTGCTACTAAACACTCAGTTTTCATGCACCTACAGCCCTATGTCACATGGCAAATGATGACCTATAACCACAGGTATCACCTGCCTTCATGTGAGTAAGAGTTGGCAGAAAAGGGAGGCAGAGAACCTTAAAGTCAATGTGGAATCTGTAACTACACACTGCTGCACATGGGGAAAGGAGAACAACAGAGAAAGGCAAGTAAAAGAAAAAAGGGAAGAGAAAGATAAAACAGTCAGCTGTCATCCTTGGAAATGGTACACAAGGCAGGAACATGAATTTCCCCAAGAACAAATTACTAACATTTGTGTTCGGCCCTGGTTCTCCAAACAGTAGCACAAGGATAAATTTCCATGACTGGAACGCCTCTGAGAAGCACAGAGTGCCAATTAGTAATCACAGAGCAGTGACACAGTATCAGAATGCCTATGCAATGTGTGCACGTTAGCCACAGACAGCAATGGCCTGGCACTTAGCTCCTTTATACACTGTGAGGAAACATCTTCCCACCCACTAATGAGCAGCGAAATTCCCTTCACAGTGGCAGTCCACAGCAGTTGAGAAACTCTCCCACTGCCTGTTAAAGGCAGTGACCCTTCCTGGTTACACAGAGCTTATGTAATAAACACTTGTAGAGTGCTGTTCAAGGGGCTGAACTACAGCTTCACTTCCAAAACTGAAGTTCTTTCACCAACAGTTAAAAACTTGAAATTCACGCAGTATAATTTTCATTCCCGTTCTCTCTGCCTCCAATTAAAAGCAGGTGTGCCATTCTTCAGCCTCAGTCCCACGCACATGGAGATGGATCCTCTGGAATGGGTTTAATGAACAGCACTGGTACTTCAAAAAACCCAAACCTACCAAGTATCTGGTGTGTTATGGGAAGTTTCACAGCTCAATCCATTGACCATTTCTGAGTGCTCAAAAACATACGCTTGATTACTAAATTGCAAACTAATCCTGAACTAAGCAAGCATCAGCTTAGCTTCCCCAGTTTCTAACGCATGCCCACCATTAACTGCAAGCCCAAACACGTGAGGAGGATGATGGGCAGCAGGACCAGCACCACAGCTCACCCTGCAGCCCCTGAGCAGGCCCCTCCCCAGCCCAGCCCACAAGCTTTGCTCCCCACCCATGCCCAGGGAAGGCAGTTGTGCCAATAAGGAACTACATATCTTTAAAGTGACAAAAACATGCAAAAAGGTGAAACCATTCTTTCTTTCTTTTTAAATAAACACTGCTCCACTGTGAGCACGAAACAGGAGGAAGGGCTACCCAAGATCTGTACTCATTTCTCTCCCAGCAATGAATTAACTCATTCTACATGCCCAAGTCCTTTGACTGCTCAGAGACCAGGGCACTATTATGCTTTTTAGTGAAAATTGAGGGAAAGTATCCATTAGGCATCTCAGCCTATACCTTGTCATCTGTTATTTTTTTCTCCTTCACTGTTAAGTAGCAGACTCACACTTCCATTTGCTCCACTCTTGCTTTTTGTGTACTTAACACTTTTTTTTATTCCTTTTACAATCTGTACTAATCAGGAGCTCATTTTGTGTCTGTGCCTCTTGTGACTTTGCCCTTTCAGGTCTTCATATTCCCATCTTCTTACCCCTGTTTTTCTTTTAATCCATTTTCTGGGACTTTCTTTTCACTCACATGCTTTTGAAAGCCATTGGTGCAAGTACAATATATTCATCTTTTACTTTCTCAGATTTCACTTATTTCCAAGAGAGTATGTGCTGCTGAACCCTGTGGGTTTTGTTCTCCAGAAACTTTCCAAAAGCATCATTCTGGGCTCTTCCAAAGCTCTTCTGATCCTGAACCTCAATGAACAGTTATTTTTCCTTACTATCCTGCACAGCCGCAGGGGGATTTGGAAAATGCTACTAATGATCCTATTTTGTTTTCATGGAAGGGTTGGTGTCATTTGGAATATGCACAGTTTAATCGGAATTGTGAGGGTTTTTGGAAAAACCTCCATAACCAGTTTAATTTTGATCAAAATCACAGGAGGACATATGACTCCCAACCCTACTGGTGTATTACTGAGCAGCTGTGCCTGAGACTACCAGGAATTACTCCAGTGGCTTTCTCTCCAGCCAGCTGGATTCTTACACAGGACCCAGAAGCCCAATTTCATCCCAGGGTAAAAAGCTTCTGCACGGGTCCAAGAGTAGCTGGCCAGGTCCTGCATGAGCTATTTGTGTACCACCGAAGATGATCAAGTATGCAATTAAACCAGGAGTATTTCTCTGAAACCACACAGTATTTAGCTACATTAAGGCACAAAGAAAGAGAAAGTCTCCAACTGTGCCACAATTTAAGCTTGGTGTTTGGGCCAGGATACCTGTGATATACAAACAAAGCTTTGGAAAACTCACTCCACATAACAGAAGTCACAGCAAGAAAGGTTTGCTGCCCCAGTTCACCAGTATCTCTGCCTACAGAAGCATTCAGAGAGTCACAGACACTGAAGGCATGAAATAAGCGATGCAACACTAAAAATAAGAGAGAAGTGTTATAAAACAGGTACTCAATGAGGTTACTGCTGTGTTCTGCATGTTCCAGAAACATGCACTGCAGTTCCCTTAAGAGCCATAGCATGTTTCCAAGAATTAAATCTATGCCAGGCTATCAGGTATCAATGCCACACAGCCTGACCCATATCCCAGAGGCCAAACACTGTGTTCCTCTACTGGCCTTGGCCCACAACACAGGAACTCCAAGGAGCTGCTGGTCTGCAACAGCATTCCTCTTACTGACCTGAGCACTGTACATACAAATTTTAAAGGAATCCTCTTGCTGAACTTTGGTTTTACTTAAAGGAAACTATATACAGTGCTGGCATCAGAAGACTGATTGTTTTCACACTTGTAATTCCCTCAGTTTTGTTTCATTAAAAAAGTCACGTCAGTTACTACTTCATTTCACTACAAACAAATATAATATGTTCATGTGCTATCTCATATAGTGCTGTGGACATGCAGCTGACTGGGCCTGGCATGCACCCCAGGACAGGCAGCAAAGACAGCTGCAGTACTGCTACTGCAGACTGAGGTATTTAGCTCTGCTCCCCATTGCTTCAGGCACAGTTCTGTGCCATTCAAGAAGCTTCCATTTTTACAAGATGTTCTGTCATACCTTGCAGAACCACCAGGTTGGGCTGGGATAGCAAAGGCACACCCCTGTGGTGTCAGGCTGCCTGGTGCAAGTCTATCCCCCAGCATTCAGAGCCCAGCAGTGCTGTCCCCAGGCACACACTCACGTGAGCAATCCCGCCCGGTGCAACACGTACAGCTCACGGCCCAGGCTGGACGTACAGAAAGGGACAGCTCGAGCAAAACTCTGCAGCAGGGGGAACTCCAGCACGTGATGTGGCACCAGGATGACACAGAAGTCTCTGTCCTGAAAAAGATTTGCAGGCAGTAAAGAAAGGCTCTTGGTGATCTGCGTAAGCTTTGCACAAACCCCCCTGACTAGAGCAGACGGACAACACTGACCATGGGGCTTACACTGCACACTCCCCCAGCACTGCTCTGCCTGGACAGCACAAAGGAACTGACGGCCTCACAGAAGTGGGTCTTTTAGCCCCTATAGTAAAGACTCATTAACTGATATTCTGATATTCCCTAGCAGTCCCCTTTTTCCATTTCCCCTCCTTCCCCCACTCTTTTCTTCCTCAGTAGAGTATTTCAGCTGCAAGGGACTTACAATGACCCTCTGGTCCAACTGCCTAGCAGGAACATTATCTCCCTGCCCACATCTATCTTTTCTCTTAAAAGATCCTTTTTTCTACCTTACTTTCCCTCTGCAGCACAACCTCAGGACAATGTGTCTGCCTGGGATCCCTTGGTGCACAAGTGCAGCACATGCCACAGTCCTGCACAGCCAGTGTGCAGGCACAGCTTGGTTTGCACTGCAGGCAGAGCAGACTAGGAACACCAGTCCGTATGGGCACAGCCACGGCCAGCCTGTCCCAAAGCTGTCACTGCTGGTGTCCATACAGACACTGCATTGGCAGTCCATGCAATTGTCCAGAGAGCTGTGCTGTAAAGGCTGCAGAGGTGCAAACCAATGCAGGAGTCTCCATCAAATGCTCTCTGAGGAAGAAAAGTATCCTCAGGAGATAAATCTGCCTGCCACAAATAACTGTCCATTACTGTTCAAGTGCTCCCTTCCACCAGTGTCTGAATTCACAGCAATGCTGTTCAGTCCACAGGCAAATACTATGGAGCTCCCTAATACTGCTTTTATAGGCTTTAACTCCACCTAATATAATTTTCCCTGACTTTATTTTTAATTTAGGTACAGTCTGGATCTATACATGTTTTTAAAGGAGTTTGAAGCATTTCTTTTCTAAACTGGCATCTCTGAGAGGTCCTACAGAACAAACTAGAAAAACTATTTACAAGGACATGGAGAGACAGAACAAGGGTGAATGGCTTCAAACAGACAAGAGTAGGTTTAAATCAGATATTAAGAAAAAATTCTCAGCTGTGAGGGTGTGGAGGCCCTGGCACAGGCTGCCCAGAGAAGCTGTGGCTGCCCCATCCCTGGAAGAGTCCAAGGCCACATTGGACAGGGCTTGGAGCAACCTGGGATAGCAGAAGGTGTCCCTGCCCATGGCAGGGGTGTGGAAAGAGATGGTCTTTAAAGTCCTTTGCAAACCAAACCGTTTTGGGATTCTGTGATAGACAAAGGACTTTGGTATGCAATCCATAGAGTCCAGAAGTAGCCAAGGAGAGGAGTAACTCAGCCCAGGGTAACCAGGCACAGCACACTCCCACAGGCACTGACTCCCAAACCCTCTGGCTGCCAACTGCACTGCTGTCCCACCACCCACGCACACAAGCCTTAGAACCTCGATTATACTCACTGGGAAAACCTCAAAAGCATAATGCAAAAAATCCAGTGACCTGCAACCAAGAGCAGACATTGGTCAATAAAGCACAGATCAGTCAGAGCCTATACATTGTGATATTTACCGCCCTGTAAGTGCAGGAACATTTATTCACAGCTAATCAGAGAGTCCTGAGTGATCATCAATAAGCAACTACTGACGTGCATGCTGCACAGCAATTTGTGACTTCTAGTACTTAAAGCACCACTATTAACGAGAATAACCACAAGGTCTGACATCATACCAAAACAAGAGGCTCTTCACTGAAAGGGGAAAAAAAAAAGCAAACACTGGCTCTCATCCTGTTGACTCCAAGCTTTTCAGAAGCCATTCCTGGACTGTCACAGCAGCACTGGTATATAGCAAACACCGAGGTTACAACAGTAGCTGTTCTATTCCATAATAGTCAGAGTAGCAAGAGCTCTGTGACTTTCCACTCAGGAAAACCTGTCAGATGTGCTTTAGCAGACTAACAGGAACATCAATACTTTGAATTGTTTTTGAACACTTCTTTCCACTTCTCACCTACTGACTTAGAGTAATCCCACTCTCTTCTCCATGGTAACAGCAAATTGTGACATTTCAGTTTAAAACTACATGAGAGTGAGAAACTAGCAAATCCTTCCTGTTTCTCCCATGTATAAGGATATCAAACAGCTCTAAGCCCAAAGTTAAGATGAAGCTTTATAAAACAGTTTTCCATTGTAAAAATCTATCTTTTGAAAAAGTTCACTATAGATACATTACCTAAAACCACTGGTAAATCCCTTCCCCAAGACCTCTAAGTTCCCTTTAATTACCTCAATAATCTAACTGAAAAGAGAAAATTTCTAATTACAATATATATGTTTGAATGAAAACTTAAAACAAAGCTGTAAGGACAGATCAGGATGGGGGTATTCTATATTCACCCATATAATACATCTTTAAAACTAGTTAATAGAATAGCTAAGCAGGGGAAAGGAAAAATGCCACTGCAATGTAGTTTTCTCTCTCTGGTACCCAGTACCTTCTTGGGAGCAAGGACCACAAGAATGGAGGTGTAAGACTTTTCAGGGGGCTTAGAAAGGTATTAAATATCTGCAGATAAACCAGCAGTTCAGTTCCTTCACATTTCACTGTCAGTGCACTAACAAACCACATAACAGCTCTGCATTTAGGAGATGGAAACACTCAGCAGCTTTGCTGGGTAACAATTCCCCAGGAGCAAACTTCCCTCAGGGCTAAGATGCAATCACACCTACACTTCAACTCAACTGCTATTTCTGGGCCCGTGCTCTGCAGGGCCAGCAGGAGCTCCCTTGGGACAAGATTCCAAGTTGCAGTCAGGATGACTTCCTGCCCTCCTTTACACATACTTGCTTTGCTAATGCTTCTTGTACAAACAGGTGGACCAAGCAAAGGCAAGCCAGGGAAGCATACAAGCAAAACATCTGAAAACAGATCTACAGATTCCTCAGCTGTGAGGAGAGGATCGTGCCTGACTTAATCTTAGGAGAAGTGCTCAGACAGGAATGTTATCTTCTCTAGATACCCATCTTGGAATCCACACTGTTCCAGAGATGTCTCCAGGGAAAAGAGACTGGGATCACAGCATTGAATGATAAATGCAGCGAGAAAGGTCTTGAACAGAAACAATGGTAGACACAAAGTACAGAGTGCCAGAAGGGAGCAAAAAAAAGGGACAGATCCTTATCCTAAGCAGGATACTATGGGCAGAGAACTTGAGAAGTCTACAGAGATTATGTCCTGACACAGGTCTCCATCACAGCTTTGAACTGCTATTTCAGTATAATGGAGCCATTCCAGAGCAAATACCTCACCTCAGTGTATTATATTAGAATATAGCTATTTTATTTTTCAATAATTATCCTGCTTGAATTTTATTTTACACTAGATTGTCCATAAATTAACTGTTCTGGAACAGCCTTTCTGCAGTGTAATTGTTCTATTGCACATTCATTGATCAGTGTTTTTTTAAGTACTGCATTTCTCTCTAAACTAGTTCCTAATCAACTCAAGCTATATTACACCAAGGCCATGTGTTTGCTTTGGTAACTTCAGATGTTTGCATTTGCAGCAGACTCAGAGTTCAATCCCCTTGGGTAGGTCCCCTCCTTAGTAAAAAAAGAGCTTAATAAATAGAATTAGTTTTCAAGGAATTCTCCTTTTTATTCTTAAACAAGTTTACTCCTAAACTTGCTTTAAGCCAGAGAAGTTCAGAAGTTGTCAGTCACCAATGACTACTACTATAAGCAGAAAGAAGTTTTTCAGACAGCACTAGAGATGCCCAACTCATCTTCTATGAAATCTTTACACCTGATACTCCTGATACCTGGTGTCTGCAGACATGACATGGATCTGAAAGCATGGAAGATCCTGGGTGTGCTCAACTCTTTTGTCTACTTTTTGTAAGTATGTTTTATCTGCCTTTATATGATCTCTAAAAAGAGCAGGGCTCGTTTATGATCAGAAAGGGACAAAGTTCCTGAAGAAGCTTCTGCTGATGTGATTGAATATAGGTTTGCTTTCCAAGTGTACAGAGAAATTTGGGAAATAAGTGTCTATACCCCATTTGCAGCCTTGTTCTAATCCACCAGGATCTAAGAGTCCAAGGTCAGCATCAATGACCTTAAAGGAAAAACCCTTTGTTCCCCACTGTAGCAGATCCTAGAATATGGAATCAATTCCTCTCAGTGATGGGAGACTGAGTGTTTAGAATGACTTGCAGAGCAAAAACCAGCTTTATTGTCCCATCCAGGGAGATGTCTAGTACTGTGACATTTGGCTCCTCTCCCAGCTAGTCAGCTTTGGATTAGTGTTTCTTCAGGGAGGGAGACGCCTTCTTCCATAACTTCAACAAACATTTTTTTCCAACAAAAAATGCATGCCCTCACTTTTTGTCCCCACAGGCCTATCAGAGACGAGAAGCTGCAGCTGGAGGCTGAGAAGTTCTTACTGAAGGTGAAAGACCCAGACTGAAACAGCGGTCAGAACTCCCACCCAACTGCAGCAGGTGCTGTCGCTTTCTGGTTTGCTCTAAAGATGGAACCTGGCAAGTGGTCATCAGCAGGATAACAGGCTGTTCATGCTCACCTGGTTTCATAGGCCTCATCAATACATAACAGACGGATACAGAAGGCATTGGAAGCTCCTCTGTACACTGGACAAAAAGCTCCTTCCTCCTCAGTTTCAAAGGGACGTGTCTCTGAGGCTTTCAAATCTCTGGTGCTGCCATCATCCAATGGCAGCTCAGTCTGGGAAACAGTGGTAGCCTCGTCTTCCTGCAACAGGAGCAAAGCAGAATTACAACTTTTCAGAAGGTATTTTCATTATTTAAGGTCTCTCCTCTCAGGGACCCTCTATTCCCTGTGGTGCCTGGTTGCCCAAGAGGAACTGGATGGGCAAGTTCACCCAAGCACTAACTGTGCCCACCTCCCTCCAGACCCCAGCCAGAGCAGGTTCTGATCCGTGCACCACAGCAGGCACATGTGGGCCCGTGCAGGGGACAGGAAATCAGCAGTACTGCCTGTCCTCATCTCTGCCAGCCTTGCTCCTTGGCAGCTCCTGGAGGGATTAGCACTGCTGGGCACGGCAGCATTACCTGCACAGCTGCATCTGGACCAGGAACACGTTCCAAGTCCCCACGTGAAACAGGTGCTGGTTTTTGATTTGTTTGGTTGCTTTCATCTTCACCTGAGTAAAAAAAAAAAAAAAAAAGAGAGACTAAGTGCATAAGGCTTAATAAAGTGAGTTTAACCTTCAGAACCACAGCAATAGTTAGAACAGGCAAGGCTACCTCTATCAAGAGATATATTTTTAATAACCACAGTTAATATAGACCCTCCTATAGCTGCTTGTCTAGAACTTCATTAGACCATTCAATTTCTAAGCAAAAATACCCCCAGGAATTAGTTGTAAAATAAAACCTGAACAAGACAGTTTGGAAGTAATTCTTAAATCATGTATTATATGTCAAATTTTTACCCCATCTGAGCTGAAAAAACAGGAGTCAGCGTATTGATTGGTTCTTAAACCCCACACCTGTCACTAACTCATTTTCTCGTGATCACAAGGACAAGCAAAGGCTCTTCATTCTCAGATTAGTTCTTCTAAAAGAACTGAAATTGAGATTAAGATCAACTCCCTAGTTGAGTCAGAACTCTTACTGGTGCAAAGAGGGACAAGATACAGGGACTTAAACTTGCTTCTCAATTGCTAAACCTAGTCAGTCCTTTGAATGCTGTTTTACTTTGTGTAGAAGTTGCTGCTCTTTGTCTATTTCCTCCTTTTCCTCTCAGAACTTCTCTCCTGTGCCACTCTCCTTCCATGCTGAAGGAACTGCTTGAAAGCACTTGGTCAGCCATTGCAACTTTGTGTACGGGTATGATTTTTGGGCCAAAAACAGACACTTGCTTGAGACACATGAGGAACTCCCACAGCAGTAGTGACCCCAGGCTTTGGTAAGCTTTTAGACACCAGCACTGTGAAAAGGAATAAAAGCAATCCACAAGGCACTTGACAACCAAAGCAATGGAAACCAGGTTGAAATCTGCTGACAAACCTTCCCACCATCCTCAGTAACACTGCAGTAACATTGCAGGCTAAGTCACTCCCACCTGAGCAAGGATGTTTTTGTGGGCAAACAGACAACTAAGGTGAAAGGATGAAGTTAGCCGTAGTTGTCATGACTCAATATTTAAACACAACTGCTGAGACACACATACACAATGCTACAGATATATATACACACATACACAGCATTCATACAGCATTCCTGGGCAAGTGCTTAAGCCAATCAACACAAGCACATCTTAGGGATATTATGTAAATATCACTATACACTGGGGTTTGCTATTCACTCCCCTGGTCAAGGCTAAATCTAGAGTGAGTATTTAAAATATTAAGAAACCCTAATAAAAATGTCTTGCTTGCTAGACAGCAGGAACTGCCATTCCAGCAAATGTTACACACTCCAGAGAAGGCAGTTCCCAAGTCCATGTGGTGAAGGATTATGCCTCTAAAGTAAATGTGAGAGGACAGTATTCAGAACAAAAAATCATCTGATAATGCAAAGGCCACATTTAATGTTATGGACCAAAATTATTTTAATCATCAACTTGGAAAAGAAATATTGAAATAGAAGGGAACCCTACATATTGCTCCAAATACCCACCAAAGTTACCAAAGCCAAGAGTCAGCTGTTGTCTTTTTAGCCCCTGAACCTACAGGTAGCAGTTCTGCCATTCCTTAAGTGCCACCTCACTAGTTTTGCTGATACATTCACAGTTTGGTTTTATATTTAAAGCTAAAGCCTGTTAATAAATTTTAACTAATAAGCTCTTGAGGTGTAGGTATCACTGCTGCAGAAAACACACCAGGCAAGGACATCCTTGCATTTGAAAGCTCCAAGAACACAAGGAAGTCGGTTTCTGTGCTCCGGGAAGAACAAAAAACAAAGTCTTCAGAACACAGAATTCTTCCCTCCTCTCTCTGAACCTTGCCTTGGGACACCCCCCTGGGCTACATTCACAGACAGAAGCATTTCTTCATACAGTAACGGGCATCTTTTTTTTTTTATAAGTACCTCAAAGGTTTAAAATAATTTAGCGAAAAGTATTTAGAAAAAACCCCATCTTTTATCTGAAAATCTGTTTCTCTGTCAATAAAAGGAGTGCAGACACGACATGCAAGGCAAGGAGAAACACTGGGGGGTAGAAGCCCTGGATTCTCTGGGGTACCACAGATGTGAGCCTTCACAGAAATTATCAAATGTCATCTTGATTAACCAGCTCCATTTCTCATTACAAACAGCCTTGCAGGTGTCAGAAGTTAATTAATACAAGTCTCTTGTTGTCATGTAAATATTGATATGTTGTTTCTGACTTTATAGTAAAATGCAAATCTTTAATGGCTCCCCCATCCACTCCTGTCAGACACGGCTGCATCGCTGTTTGCACACACGCTGCACACGAGTGACTGGGAAGAGCAGCAATACTGTCACACTAAATCAAGTAAGGACCACAAACAAAGAGAAAATTAAAATAATTCTGTGATTGCTGGGCTGTTAGCTGAGGTACAGTCAGCAGGATCAAGAAGTCAGTTCACCATGAGGCCTGATGAAAAGCCCTTGAATCATTCCCACTGCATCATGTTTTCTAGCAACTAATTCGTGATGCCATATAGAGTAACGACCAAATTACTGTAATTACCCTGAAACCCAAGTGGCATATCAGTACAGACTGTTGTATACTCTTCCATTATTATTCAGTATTACATTTTGAAAGGAAAAATAATACCAACCCGCGGTCTCTACTTAAAAGCTAAAGAGCTTGAGAAAGCATCCTTTTTAAATGTGGAAACATAAAAATTACTGTACAAAGGAATGCAGCTTGCATTTTAAATTCCCAGCCTTTGGATTCAATAAAGTAAAGTCCAGATCCTCTACAGATGTCAGGTCAGTGAACCTCCACTGCCTTCACAGCAGGGGACAATCTGGCAAGTGTCCAATGCAGGGGCCTGCAGAAATCCTGCACTCACCAAAACAGCTTCGTGTGATCAGCCATGGGTTTGCAACAACAGCCTGGACAGAACTGACACCAGAATAGATTTCAAAGATACAAGCCAGCCCTTATGTTGGAAAGGCTTGACAATGAACTACTGGGATGCAATTCCCTACATTTACAGAAAAACCCAACCCACTCCAAACAAGACAATTTTATTGAAGATGTAATTTGAAAAGAGAATTAAGAAGTCAGAGGAAGGGAATGGTGCTTATTAGTTGGTCAGTAATTTTTTTTACAGTAAACTTAGTTCTTAAAATAGTGGGCTTTTTTCTTTCTCTTCTTAATTTAAAAGAAAAAAAAAAATGAAACATTACCATTTTTCCAGAAAGTTTTCATGAATGAATACTGAAGTGAATTTTAAGTCACAGGTCATGTAGTAATGAAACCCAAATCAGAGGCAAAGAGCTTTTCATTCAAACTGCTTGAAAAATGCAGACTTAGTTTAGGGCCATAAGTCAAATAGGTAACAAGCAGCAAAAACAAAAGCTGCTTATCAAATAGCCATCCTATAAAGCATATATTCTCAATAAGCCCTAAGAGATTTCTTGTGACAAGCTCCTGCCTTATTGAACAGGTATCAGAAATCCAAGTAATGGTAGTGCATATTTGATTTGTCTCCTCTTTCCTTTCTCTGAAATTCCACTACCACAGCCTTTAGTTTCATCTCTCCTTTTTGGCCACACTGTTTGGCAGGTATAAACAGCAACTTACACTGTTACAGGACACCAACACATATTCATCTTATAATTGTTTATATTCTGAAGTGTGCAAAGCTACAATAATAATACTATTACTATTACTATTCAGTGATAACAGTTAATGTTCCTGAGCCGTATACAGCAAATTTTACCATTAAATTTCTAGTTGCTCTCTCTCCAGAAATAGCACCAGAGCCAGGTTCTCAGCTTATGATATTCAAGTTTTTTCCCAGGTGTCAGATCATTAACGATTTGAACTCAAGCTACTTGAAAGTCTACAAATAGTTCTTTTTCCCCACAGCTGCTCTTGTCATTCCAAATAAGGGGTCTCACCTGAAGGCGACCCACAGCATTGTAAACTAGCATCAACCATCAAAACTAACATAGTTTTTAAATGGAGAGGGGAAAAGAGATAAACACACAGGATGCTAAGCATGCTGCTTAAGAAATTCCTGAAAAATCACTCAGATGCCAGATTCACAAGAACCTGAACACAACAACTGCTCGTGCTAAGTTTTTGCAGTTAGAACATGTCTCATAGATTCCCTAAGTAAAAAGTGTGTAACAGCTGTATTGTTGAACTGGTAACCACATACTCAGGGAAAAGCTCAGCAGCACAGAATTTGCTGCAGAACACAGCCTACAGCTTGCAGTCCCTGGAGAAGGAAAGCAGACACCAGGAACAGCCACAGGATGGGTAAGGCTGGGAGAGAGCCCTGGAGGTCACCTTGCCCAAGCCCCCTGCTCGAGCAGGGTCACCCAGAGCAGACGGCCCAGGATGGGGCCCCAGCTCATGAGTGATCTCTGTTCCTCCTCAGTCTCATTTCTGTTCCTACCTATGTCTGTCACCTCTTCTGAGCTGATACTGCAGGAGCTGCAGGATAGTACAGGAGACAGGCAGCTTCCTCCATCCTCTGTGTGCAAGATGCTTCTTTGCAGGGGAGGGGAAGTCCACAGAAGCAGCTCCAAGACCTTCTCCTCTCCCTTTTCTGTTCCATGACTGCCAGCTCTGAGACATCAGCTGGCAATGGCCCTGCAGCTCCCTGGTTGCCTTTTTTGCCTGCTGCTTTGTGTTCAGACAAGCAGACACGTAACCTAATGGTGGGGGTTTTTTATTCCATTACTGATAATTAGTAGACAGCAAAATGTTGCCCTTCTGCACAAAAAGCCCTTTGACACTGAAAAATAAAGACGACAACTGTAAATCATTTACGTGACACTTCTGTTGTACAAACAGGTGCCATACTCATGGGTTTTATCACTTGTGGTAAGGTGGCTGTAGACGTGTTGCTGTATCATGCCCAGGACAAGAGTAGAATCAAGAGACAGTCCCTGATCTCCCAAAATCTTGTAACCCAGGAGACTGCAAACAATAAGCACAGACAGCAGAAGCTGAACCGCAAGGCAATAAGACAACGTGAGTCAAGAGGACAACACACCAGACATGGGTAACCAGCTGCTCGGCTACTGACAGACAACACACCAGCAGACTTCAAAATTGGATCTTCACTGAACAGCACAACTGTATCTAACTGACAGAAAATACACCCCATGCTCCAGCTTTCTCAAACTTGAAGCCCATGTTTATCCCACAGCTGGCACAGGCTAGCTCCACACAAACAACAGTGGCTTCTGAGTCCAAGATCAGTTATCAAAATTCCCCTCCTGAATTAAAAAACCCCAGGCAACCTGCTGCAAGACAGATAGGTGAATTTGTGTTTTCTTGCTAGTAAACCTATATCCTTTTCTAACCTTCTGTACAGCCTACTCAGAAGCTAGACACTAACACACCTTGAATCTATCTAGCACTTTAGAATATGGATACCTTCTTGAACACTTGGCTTCCGTGGCACTCGGAGAACATCTTCAGCATGTTGTTTACAGAGTCCATGGAAAGGTCCTAAGTCAAAACACTCTTGAAACAAGGAAACATTCACTTGAGAACATAAGCTCATGAATCCTACTGCAGTGCCATCAACCTGAAATGTAAAAGCCTCGTCACAGAAGAGCCCATGATTTTAGGTCAGGACAAAAAAAAATGAACAAAAAACTTCTGAAACAAAAGCTAGCATTCCATCTCTGACTGTGCATAATGGAACAGTAAAAAGGAACTATTTCGGCAAAACCTAAAGAAGCTTTTTTATTTTTTTCCTTGTAATGTGTGTATTAGGACCTCTGAGGATTTCTAAGTCTCCTGTTAGCTATGACTTGCAAGGGCATTAAGTTTATATATATGGACCAAATAGTGACCTACTATTTTAGTAAAACATTTGTTACAGTAAATAAAAAATATACCTCCAAAAAGGCATCATTTGGCTTTAAGTTACAGCACAGCTGAACTAAAACCTGGATGCAGCTAGCTGTAATTGTTGACTCATTTTTGGACACTGCTTTCTAGCTAAAATTGTGCACAAACTAAAAAGTGCATTTTATTATCCTTTAAGATTATTCACTCAAGAAAGCAATTCTATATTATATACATGGTACCTAACACAGTACTTGGTGAGTATTATTTGCAGCAATTACAAGTGCTAAATACTTTTGAGTTCTGAAGAACTCCAAGAGCTGGTCTTCAAAACAAACTGCTCTGGCAAAATGTGAAAGGGGCAGCACCCCTGCAATGCTGAAACCCACAGTGCCCCGGGTGTCTGACTGCTGCTGGAGCTCCCAGCAGGCTGCAGTCCTCAGCAAGGCCCTCTGAGCACGGAGAACTGGCCTGCTGGAGGGTTTCTGGGTCTAAGTTAACACGAGTCTAGAAGGAAGTTCTTCAATTTTAGTACTGTACACAACTATCTGGTGAAACACACATAATCAAAATGTATTTTCTTTCCACCTTAATGCACATAATGAAAGCCTTTATAAACCTAATGAAAACTCAAAGGCTGCTTTTGTACAGCTGTTTTATCAGGCCATCAGCGCTCCAATAAAGACCCCAAAAAGTATGACTTTAATTTTTCTGCCCTCAAACAAGTGATTGTTTGTTTGCCTTGTTTGTGTAACCGACAAAGCTGGGGCACCACAGTTGCCTGGCTGCTATGTAATTTCAGGCCCAAGGCTCAGCAGAGGCTGATTAACCAATCCATCTACCATATGTGCAAAAAGAGGCTGCCAGCTTCATTCTCCGCAGGGAAAATTGGCATCCATCGTGGTTTGCGTGGAGGCGCCTTCCCGATCCGTGGCAGCAGCGAGGACAAACTCTGAGGGCCTGAAACACCTTTTGCTGGTCTCACATGGAGCTCTGAACATGCAACTGAAATGTATTATTTATAGCAACAGCCCTCTGCAATGTGCCATTACACTAATGGTGTATTGTTTCCCATTTGGCTCCCAATGGCAGTGATTACATGTTGCAGCTTTATAAAACCATTTGCCACAGAAAACAGACTTCAGGAATTAAAGAGGTTATGTTGCCTATCACCTTGCAATACCATGCACAATTACTAACACTGGAAAATCTTAACAGGAATTTTCAGTAGGATAATTATTACCACCTCTGTCTTATTTAAATTAATTCCTGGGTTTCTGTCTCCAATTCAGCAAAAAATCTGACTGTCTGAGCCAGGAGATGGAAAAAATCTACAGCATTTTAAACTGTGAAAGGATTACTGGCTACTCATTTTCTCTGGGAATGAAAACAGGTCACCTATGATGCACGCCACCCATGTGGCAACATGGTTTCTTCACGATGGTGAAGTGGTCCCAACTGCTTTAAAAGAATCCACATAAGAACAAGGAATTGCTACTTCATTTCTGAACTGGAGGTATCACTTCTAAAGACAGACACAAACCACACTGTGAAGGGCACCAAGTGGGTGCAGATCATGAGCTCTACCCTTTCACAGGTGAGCTGCTCATTTCATTCCCTGAGCTAGAGTGAGCTGCCACTCAGGACATCACCAACATCAGAGAAAACCAGAGCTCGTGGCAGACTGACCTCACAAACAGCTGCCTTATTTTCTTCATCTTGATGTTCCATGAGATCAACAAGGAGATGTTCACCAAAGGTTTTTCTCAGAGTCTTACTTTGGGGTGTCCAGATTGGCATGAGATCATCATAATCTTCCAGCCTACAAAAAAAGAGATTAGGTAATGTCCTACAGCTCTGCCATTAAGAGGTTCTGATGCTTCTCTTCTACTCCATTAGCATATGGAGAAATATTACAAATATCTGTTCCAAAGTCTGCACCCACAAGTAATTTCACCTAGAACACATCCCCAGAGCACACTACAGTGAGAGTTTCAGCACCAGAGGAGAAACAGAACCACTCTCAAGAGGCAGCACAACCCAACCAAGACTTGGATTGCCCAATGCACATACTTTTCTTTCCCTAACAAAATACAAGGGAAGCTCAGTTCCAAGTTCTCCTGTCTAAGGCATCTCAGGCCAGGTGGCCCAGGGCTTTAGGCCTCATTTAAAATAATTATATTCACTGAGCCCAATCATCAGGTGGTTAGAGTTGGCAGAAATCTCCAAAAGCTACATCAGTGCAATTTAGAAAATCAATTCTCAAAAACACTAAGGAAGAACACAGTGCCTTGCTGTACAGGAACACAGTGCTGAGCACTGGCTTCGTGACTTATTACCCACAGCAGTGCCAAGTCACCCAGCACACAGAGCCATTGTGCTTTGTAAAGTCAAGTTAAAGCTCCACCACTAAAAGAGATAGAAGGTGCCATTCCCACATCCCTCTGCCTCAGGAAAGGCTCTGAAGAGGTGGGCACCTGCCAGCCAGGCTTTATCTGTTCTGCTGCTCCACCCTGCTCTCCCTGACAGCATCTGGCTGCTACAAGGGGTGGTGGTGCCCTCACACAGACCCCCAAACGGCATGGATTTTTATTTAAACAGTCAGACTCTTTCCCACTAAACTGCTGTTCCTAGCTAAGAGCAGTATAAGTCTGAAGAAGTCCCAGTGCTTTTACCAAAGCAGTGGCAATTCATCCGTCACACACCCTGGGACCATGGCTTGAAGGCTGATGGCAAATCAGCTCCAACACAGAACTGCTGTCAATGACATGAAGCCACTTGTATTTACCTCTCAGAAAAACGCTGGAATTGAGTGGTGAAACCAACAGTTCTGCACCAAAAGCAGCAGAGAGAAAGCAGGGCTGTTCTGGGCTGCCAGAAGGAACAAACTGCAGTGCCAGGAAACCATCCCAGCTCCGAGCAGGGAGCAGGAGGGTACCTCGGCTATGACACCAACACAGCTGGAGACAGGCGGGCCCAGGGACAAAGGAATTGCATCAGGAAGAGTCACTTCAGGCCCGGGAACACGTTTATGTTTACTGGAAGAGACCCAGCAGCGCTGCCGTCCCGCTCGGGACCAGCCGGAGCCGCAGGCGCCGGGGAAACCCGTCCCGGGAGCGCAGCGGGAGCGCTCCCGCCGGACCCTCCGCACGGCCCGTCCCCGCTCCGCGGCCCCGCGCGGTCTCTGCCGCCCCCGCGCGGCCCCGGCCGGCACTCGGGAACGGGGCTGGGATGCGCACACCGCCTGCAGGGACCGCCGGGAACGGCTACCGGCGCTTCCCTCGGCCGGCACTCGGGAACGGGGCTGGGGTGCGCACACCGCCTGCAGGGACCGCCGGGAACGGCTACCGGCGCTTCCCTCGGCTGCGAGGGGAGCACAGACCTCCTCCTGCAGGGAGGACCAGGGAACTCGTGTTTTGCTCCGGGCTCCCAGCGCCCACGTAAGGAAGTGCCTGTATCCAAACACCTGTAACTTGGAGATCATCGTTCCACACAGGAATCCAGAAACGCAGAATAAACAGATTCTCACTGCCACTCTTTATACATTTATGGATTTGGAAGGAGCCTTAAAGTTCACATAAATGGGCAAAAAAGATTCTATTTCTCACTGTATCAAACATGGTCTGAATTCCCAGGCACTGGCTCCAGTGCAGGATACAAGGATAATCCACGTGATCTCCAGATGGTTTTGCTGCTCCTACGCACCAGAATGGAAGTGACCTCTGAATAAGATCACCTTTCTACCTGGGGCCAGGGACCTCTTGGATTTTGACCTTGTTCCTCCCTTCTCCTCCTCAGGCCATCTGTCAAGGCTCTCTTTTTACTCCAGTTACACTTGATCTTTAGAGTCTGCTCCAGCCTAAACAATCCTATAACTCTTGTCCCCACTGCTGGGCAAGGCCTGGGACGCCCGAGGCAGGTCTGGGGGGGGCTGGGATGGGATGGACAGTGACAGAACTGCTGCACAACCCAGGCTGGGCAGCACCACAAGCACCTGGCCAGCCAAGGCTCTCCAAAGTACAGAAAATATAGCACACCATCAATTACTTACCTATAGAATTAACTCAAAACATGCAACTAAAATGAAATTCCAAGAGCAATAAAACCCTGTAAAAACTTGAGTAGTTTACAATCTTCCTCTTCCTTCACAAGCAGTATCCCAAGGGAAAAGCTGGGGTGGGGTTTTCTATTATCAGAACTTCACTACTGCAACACAATTAACTAGTAGAGCAAATCTGCTACTGAGCTATCAAACCTCAAAAAAACTAAACTAACAAAGGGGTAACAGAATGTGACTGTATTCTATTTGTGGGGTGGATAATGGACACACACCTCCTGTAAAGGGAACACTGCGCCGAGTGCTCCAAGTCCCCACATGGCATTCTGCTCCACGGGGGACACAGCACGAGGCTACGCTCCAAGGTGCAGATGGCAATTCCTACAGACTGACCCCATGACAGTCAGTGGGGCTCCACATAAACCCACTCATCTCCCTGCACATTAACTGTAGGAACACAACTCTTTTCATTTTTTTTTCTATTTTTTAATATCTTTCACCAGTACCATAGTCTTAAAAAAGCTAAAGAAACCCTCCGAAAACCAGTAGCTTACCAACATAAAACACAGAAAAACTCCCCTACTGCAAGCACACGCAATGAGCTGCAAATCTGTGACTCGCACATGCTACAAACCCAAGAATGACAGATCTAGACAAGTTATCAGCAAGGCCCCTAAATATCAAAGCTTAGTGCGCTGAGTTCTGGTGCACACAACCGATACATCTCACATTCTAAAAGCCAGATGGAGAGAGGAACTCCAAAACTGATGGTTAAGCAAAGTATCAGTTGACAGCTGCTTTCCCCCCCTCTATAAGCAAGAGAAGAGGGAATAGAGATTACCCTAATCTCCTCTCCCTCCCCCAGAACATGTTGCTAGGCAGGTGGCTGGGGACAACTCTCACAGATGAGTCTCTAAGGGCTCCACTGGCCGTTACTATGGATGCCAGCCAGGCACAGAGGTGAACGCAGAGGGAAAGGCAAAGCATATTCTGCAAACAGAAATTAGCTGACCCAGAATCTACTGATGGACAACACTCAAGTATGAATATCACCAGGTACTGTGTAATTTAAGAGGAAAAACAGTTTTCTAGATAGTTTTCTAATAATAAAAGAACTAAAGTAGTTCAGTATTTGTACCAAACCACGGAAATCCCAGAAAAGATGGTATCTCTTATCAGGAATACTGGTATAGCCTAAGTAACAGCTCCAGTCACATAAAAGTCACATTCCATTGACAATATCCAATGGCCACCAAAAGAAAATACAATTTAAACAAATATAGTTGGAATCAAGACATACAGAAAGATTTTAAACACCTTGGAATTAATTAACCATTGAGATAGCATGAAAAGCTTTGTAACACTGAAATGTCCAGAGCTACAGCAGAATGGTGTGAAGTGTCAAAGGTCAGGCCTCAGGCTTTTTTCTTAAACTGCTCAGAACTCAAGTAACAGGATACCATGAGCATAGACTACAGCTATGGCATATATAAACTAGAGGAGCACAAGCTGCAGGTTTCCTCAGAACCATTTTGTAGAGTTAAATATGTGCAATAAAACATCTGACGTGTTTGTCAGAATCCAGCCTGAGCTGGCAGCATGAACCAGCCCATAAACAAAAAGGTGTGGCTTTACCAGGCAGAGATATGAGCTATGCCCAGTGTGGAATTACCAGTACAGAGCCCCCCCCACCCATGTGTGATAGTGCTCCAGGAATGCACATATCCCTAAGCTTCATTTTCCACTACAGGTACCAGAAATGCTAATTTAATCACAACTCTGCTACATAGCCACAAAGCAACACTTACATTCAGAACACGAAAAAGCAACTCCAGAATAAATCAATCAAATAAAATCATTGCTCCATAATACATTACCCTAGCTGCACTCTCCTCACTGTGAAGAGAAAAACAAGTGACTCAATGTGATAGATACAGGTTCTATTTCAACCACACCACAGGGAAGCATTCCCACAGTACCCACACAGAGAACCCCCAAGCCCCTGGGCCAGAAACCCAGCATTTCCCACGTCCCGGACACAAGGCTGGCACAGGCAGAGCAGTGTTTCAGCACAGACAGCAGGATTCACATGGCAGGAAAAACCAAGCCTGGCAACGGTCAATACACAGGTAGAGATAACAGGCAAGGCTGCTGGGAAAGGCATGTCTCTGCTTGGTGAGCTGCAGGCTGAGAGGAAAGGAGAAAGTAACCCAGTCTCACTGCTGTAATGGTATTTATGACTGGGATCCCACCTCAGGAGCAAGGAGCTGTTAAAGGCACACTGCGCGGGCATAACAAGTCTCTGCTCCAGTCTGTGGCCATCAAAACAGATGATGTAATGGAGGGAGAAAAGTGTTACCCCACGATTTTCTTAAGCTCCCTCAGCAAGGCTGAGGAGGCTGCTCCCCTGAAACATACCCAGACAAAGGTTTGGAGCACTTCCACAGAAAAAAAACATGGAAGAGAATCACTCTTCATGTCTGAATGACTACTGGAACTAGGGATTTTCAGCTCTTATTTAACTCCTTCAGATAACAGGCCTTCCTATCAGGCTTTGCTCAATTGTTCAGCATATGACATAAGAGAAAATTAAAATTAAAAATAAGTTGGAAGAGGCTTCAAGAAACCTGGAAACTGCACACACTACATCTCCAGCAGATCACAGAATAAACATCACCAACGAAAGTGTTCTTTCTACACAGCAAACTAGTTTTACAAGAAATACAATTGATCTTGCCATGAAGTAGAACGAAACCAGCATAATCCTAGAACTACTTAGGTTATAGCAGTAGAACTAGGGTATGGGTGCTGCAAAGCAGAAGAGAACACTCCTGCCACTCCCCCAGGCCGTGCCCCCAGCAGCAGAAGCCGCAGTACCTGGCCTGGCGCACGTGCAGCCGGGGGTGACACCGGTGCCGGGGGCACACGAGCAGGGTGAACTTCTTACCCACGGCTGATCCTACAGCAGGCGGCATCACTGCAAAGACACCCCTCAGGCCTGGCTCTGTGAAGGACAAAAACCCATCAGAGACAGGGAAAATTCATTATGCAAGCTTTAACAGTGATCAGCAGAACTGTTTGAGGAAAACAGTTTCAAACTTGAGATCGGGAGCACTTTGCCATCTGTGGTTTAAGCCAAGCAATGGAGCTAAAATGATAGCACTATAAACATGAGAGAATTGTCAATGGAGTCATCTAATTAATCCAGCATTCCAAACCTGAATAACCTTCAGAGCAATCAGAAATTGGTAGAATTAAATCCCTATGAAAATACTGCAGCCAATTCTCTATGCCACTGGAGAATCTGTCAGGACTTGTGACGCTGAAGGGAAGCTGATATTTGTTGCTGGTTGGGCTTGACAAAGCCCTTCATTCAGCTCCTGTTTTCCATAGTTGAGGTACCACTGCAGAGTCTTTTAGCATGACTTGGAACTACATGCCTAGAAACTGGCATATCAGAAAAGGTTCCAGCTCACTTCTGGAGAAGTCCAAGCAAGAAATCAGTCATTAAGTGCATGCTTGGTTTATTAGTCTGAATTCAGGACTGAAACTCCAAGCCAGGTGCTGTTCTTTGATTAAGATGTGCTTTTATCTTTGCACCTCTGTTTTAAAAGAAATAATCTGAGTTTCCTTCCATGCCTCCAACAGCCCCTCTGAGCCTCACTAGTGTCCTCTCCCCATCTGTACTTGCTTGGCTAAGCAAGACAAAGTGCCCAATTTCAATCTCTTGGCTCTGTTCAACCAGAAATCTTCACAAAACTTGCCGGAATTGATCTTAATCCTGTTTGATGTCCCGTTTCTGGCAAATTTAAAGACTGCAGGAAATGGACACACTGCTGAATGGCTGCTGGAGTGAGCACAGAACCACAGACACCTCCTGCACAAGGGATCCTCACAGGAGGATACTTTCAGATTGTGTTTTCCACATGGTTAGAAACTGATAAATGTTCTCAATATTAAAAAACCCACCATAAAACTCACAGTGCCTATTAATGAGATTGAAATTGTATTAAATTCCTACCTAAATTTTCCTCAGCTGGTATGAAGAGAAGTATAAACTGCAGTTCTGGTAGTAAGATGAAAGCTCTCCTGGACAAATGACACAAATTTATTCAATCTTTCATCATTGCACCCATCAATGACAGACAGCAGCTAGTCTTTTAATATACATCTTTTTTTCTCTCCAGTGTCTCTAATCTTCCTCCATGAGTCCATGTGGCTCAAAAATTAAAACATTTCTGACAAATTAGATCAAATAAAATTCATCTGGGCATTTTTTACTGTTTTTTCCTACCTTATTTCTCTCTAATTTCCTAATCCTTAGATTTCAAATATCTTCCTTTTTATATCAGTTCCCCAATGGTGAACTATTAAAGATGCCAGACCTCTGCTGGCAGATCTGACCTGGCATCTGGATGAGATGACTTGATGTGACAAACTGTCAATTCAACAGCAGCACCAAGTGCAGCTCCCTGTTTATGCAGCAAACTCTGGGCTACACCAAATAACCTGAGCAAACACAGCAACACATTGTGCTGCCTGTACTGTAGTCTGCAGCCTTACCATGTAATCTGTGGCTAACAAACTATCCATAAGTTACCTGGGAACAGGTGTATCCCATGAACATCTATGACTTTCTAAGTTTCCTGCTCACTCCCATGCTTTGGTTTCTACTAGTGGAAACGTAGGAAAAAGAAAAATCACTCTGCCTTGCAAGTGCAGTACTATTTCTGTGGGAGATGACAGCAAAGCTACAGCTAAACCTGCCCAGGGCGTGAGAAGTGTGCTCGGAACTGCCACAGCTTGGTTCCTGAGCCACTGTGCACTGAGTAACACAAGGTGATGTGTTACAGCTTCCGAGCCTTCAGAGACGTTCCGTTCTGATGCACTGCAAACCTGAAGGCACTGGTAAATCCCACAGCCTCTCCAAGCGATGGCAGGAGTGCACCTGCTTCACCAGTTACCCGGGAACTCACCTCACAGTTTCCCGGGAACAGCCAGCTGCGTGTCCTTCCTTGGCCACAAAGAGATGCATGAACAGTGTGTTCAAGGGCTACAAGACAAGGAATGGAAGTCTACACCATGCAGCTAACAGTCAGTACATCAACCCAAGCATTAATACACATTTTTATTTCCAGTGTATATGATCTGCACTCAAAGTGAGCAGCTTCATGAAATAACTTCAAAGCATGTGTGGATAAATTTATGTGATATTGAAAATACTTTTAATAATTTTGTGATTCTGCAACATTTTTACTTTACACTCAGTTTGCTATTGTTGGACTGCAATATACACTGGACATTTCATAATAAGCAGTATTAATTATAGACTGAAAACATTTAACCACAATAATTAGCAATTAAGTCTTAACATTTAACATTTGGCTGATAAAGACATTCTTTTTAGGTTTAAAAAAAAAACAAACACAAAGCTCACTTCCCATAATTCTAAAATATTTTTTAAGGTAGTAAGAAAAATTACAGATTTTAAGACTATATCATTAGACACATTTAAATACTCAGGCAGAAACAGGGCAGACTAGCAGACACTTTTATCCTATATGCCTCCAGTTAACCTGGAAAACCCCTGTGCTGGAGTGGCAAGGGCTATTAATTCAGCTGTTCTCCTGCATACTAGTGTGCTGGGTCAGTGAAGGTCCACCTGCAGAAAAAATATTTCTGCAAAGAATATTTTAAGTGGGAAAACCTGAGGTCTTCTGAATAGTTTACTATTCAACTAAAATGTCATGGCTAGAGTCACCAATCAACTTCAGCAACTTCAGAGCAAGAAAGATATCAACAGAAGCTGCAGTACACAGACCAGCACAAAGACAACAGGCTATTGTAACAAACACCTAAAGCCATCTCTAAACATCAGGTTTTTTGTTTGTTTCTCAAAAGCAAAAGGAAGAAAAAATATTTTGTTGTTGAGGTCTAAGAGGAGGCCCAGGAAGCCAGGCTTGGACTGTCACTGTTTCTGAAGAGCACTGGTAACCAGACAGTCCTGTAAAGCATCTCCACTAATCCAATTCTGCACAAGTCAGTTCCCAGATTAGACCTTTGATCTATCTTATTTCTGTGCTTGAGGAAAAAGACTTGCCACCTAGACTTTGCAGAAATCTTATGTTCAGATGACCTCAGTTTTGTAAAGCACACCTGCAAGGATTTAACCTGCAGTTAAACCGACAATCTCACCAAGTTATACCCTAGAAAAGGTTCAGTTGTTCTGCCAGTGCAGAAGCATAAAAAACAGACTGAATCTTCTGTACCTGTTTTGGAAAACAATCTCCATTCTAGCAAAGTAAGATCCCTGCTCCCTGTCAGTGTTTCAAAGAACCTTTTGCTCCTATTTACTTAGGAGTATCAATTTATTTTCCTGTCTTTTCTCTGTTTGCCCCTGCACTAGCAGTCAGCTGCGGCTCTGCTGCCTCAGACCGTGTGGAACAGGCTGCCTGAGGCAGAGCCGGCAGCACAGAACCCCGGCACAGCTGCACCTCAGTGAAGTGGCTGCGCCTGCACCTTGCCTGGGCACAAAGTGCTGCTCAAGAGACAAAGAAAGCCCACTACAAGGAAATTTGACATCTTTTTGCTACACTCCCCTGGGCTGCAATGACTGTTTCTTTTAAGAGCAGACAGCATTTTCAAATACAACTGCTGTATCTGTCACTTTATCTGCAAGCCATTGCTTAACATCAACACACTGGAGAACTGATGAGTGTCCTAGACATTACTGCAGTACTGCTAACACCTTGTTATGCCATGTGCTGCCTACCTTTTAAGTGCTTGGGGTTAACATTTTCCATATTTTCTCAGGATCTAGTTCCCAGCTAGACTGAACGATGGGCAGCATTTGAATCCTAAACTTCTAAGGGCCTGTTTCCAGCCCATAAGTGTTAAGAGAAATTCATCCACTTGCCCGAGGAGCCTGTGTGAAAGCTGCCATCACAGAGCAGAGAGCAGCAGTCTCCAAACCAGCACCAAGATGCCTACATCAGCACGAGAGTTTCTTATGGAATCAGATCATCACTTCTTGCAGCCTAAAGGTGTCAGGTCTACCAAAAACACATCTTAAATGCCCATGTATATTTTTCATACCTAAGCCTTAAATGAAAACTATAAGTCACACAATTTACTTACAGTGCACTTATGGTTAGTGTAGTTTTTATGCAGGAATGGTTCCCAGTTAGCCTGATCAGTGATATTCCAATTTGGATAGTCCAGAAAGGCAGCATGGGCTATAACCTCATTCTTCTCATTGCAGAGGGTCAAAGCAAGATTTGATTTTTCTCTATGAAAACAATTGAATTGTGCAGAAGTTGAAGAAACTCCACATAGAAAAGCATCTGACAGAATTCAGCCTGCTAGAACAGTAAAATTATGCCATGTTCAAAAGGGTTCCCAGAATCAGGCCTCAAAACCTCATCACCCACATCTTAACTTGACATTATTGCTTCAGTTCCAGACAGAATGTTTCGACATAACACTTGACGTGATTTTTCAGATCCTCAATCATCATGAATTTGAGATGCAAGACTTAAATGCTCCCTCTTCTCTATGTTTTCTCAAACATTGACTTGTTCCCCAAATAGCTGTTACCCAAGATTTTTGCCATTAAGTAGGAAAAACCTCAAGTGACCCATAAGCATTTCCCACAGACTCTCTGCTGTTCATCCCTGCACAGAAAGAGGAAGCACACAAGGTTCATCACGAGCTCCAGGGATGGAGGTGGGGTAAGAGAATACGACTACAATCCCCATCTCCTCTGAGGACATTGCTGTGCAAGCAGCCAGGAGACAGAGACCAAACCTCCCAGAACACTGGGTATCAGGGACACAAAAAGAGGTGGCACACAAACATTTTACAGCAGGCAGATGCTGCCTCCCACAGCAGAATACAGAGGGGCAAAAGATAACCCACTCCCTTGGCTAACGGGAAAATGGAAGAGAAGGAAAAGTGATTGACATACACAGGAACAGAAATTAGAAGAGTTATGGCCTCGTAGCAATTAAAACTCCTCCACTTCTGTTCATCCCCAACAGGCAAAAGCATTCTGGGAGATGGAGCAGGCAGCAGACACTGGAATCTGAGGGTTTCACCAGGAGTTAGCCAACAGTATTTCCTCTGAATTTTTATAAGAGATTAGTACAGATAAATCATGTCCAGCACACTGACAGCAGTGACCCAGGTTTGCCCAGTCATGTGTGTGACAGATGGAAGTAGATTTTCTTTCACTTTCCAGGAACAGCAGAAAAAAAAAAAAAATCATGATACCACCCAACATAGGTTCAGAATGTTTTCTTGCCATTTTAAATGTGACTTAATTGCCTGAAGTATCCTGCAAGAAAGGTAATGTCCTAGAATACCATTACTTACAAAAGGAACATGACATCAACCCTTCCAAAGACACCTTCTGTACCAGTGCTGAAGAGGCTGATGATGTCCAGAATATCGTGTGATTCTGTTCTTCGGACACTGACCCCTCCCGTGTTTCTCCTTGAGGAAGTTATTGTATCCATCTTACAGGCTGCAACAAGAGCAAACACCAACATTGCTGCTCTGGGGATCCCGCTGCAATCCACTGACCAGAGTCACTTCAGATGGATTCCTCTAAGAACTCCTAAGTGGTGCAATTCCTATGGATTTAGGTGCCTGGTTCCTGTACAGCACACAGATATATACTGCCTGCACATACACACAGCATGCAGGCACTGCACACATGGAAATGCAGCAGGCAATCATCCCTACTGCCTGGATCCTACACAGGAAATAAACGGCTTTAGTAGGTTACAGTTGCTTTTACATTTATCACTTATGGGCATTTGCAGGGTAGCCATCAGAACAGTGCCTTCAGCCTGCAGGCTGGGACAATCAGCTGGGGACAATCAGGGTAACAATTAAACAGCTTCAGGTGACTTAATTGTCCAAAAGTGCACCTCAAATTTCTTTTAAAGTCAACACCAGTGCTTAAATTTCAAAAGGAATTGAAAGCTCTATGACCTTTCTGCCCAGAAGAAAACCGTTTGTGGTTCCACGTTCACAGGTGCCAGGTGTAAGAGATTTATTGATCTGCCCGGCAACTTCAGAACACACAGGGGCAGCAGATACTCAAGCAACTTGTAATTGGGCAGCAGATACTCAAACCACCTGTGAGCGGGTAGCAGATACTCAAAGCAGATACTCAAACCACGTGTGAGCATCCCCTCAGTTCTAACACCTTTCAGCTGGGACTGCTCAATACTGCAGCCCACTGCGATACAATTAATAATTAGGCACGTGAAATAAAGTGATCAAACAATAGCTTACTGCAGTTTCTAAAATATACACGTAAAATATAGCATCACTAACTCAAAAAAAAGTTTAAATGAGCAACGCACCAAGACCAGCAGAGCATTTTCACCAACCTGCCAAACACAAGAGCCACTTCTAACAGTGGCTCCAAACCCAGGCATGATGCCCAATTTTTAGGCACCACAGATCCCAACCGAAACGGAGGAACAAAAGAAACCCCGAATTTCATACTTTTTAAGTACAGAGAAAGTCACATGCACTGCTACATCTTCCACAGACAAACAAGACATTTAGGTGCCAGCACAGGTCTCAGCCACACCAATATGCATTTGCAAAGAGGTCCTGGGACCAACCTGAAGCAAGATATCCTCTGCAGATATGGTGCCAATTCCATATATAAAAACACACAGGAGGGGTTTTTTTAACTGTCATTGAAATATAGCACTAAGATCATCTCAACTCAGGAAAACAGTTCGCCGCGTTCGCAGATGAAGTCGTTGAACTCAATGCATTGAAAAAAACACCACGCGCTTCAACGCGAGCTCCCCCGAACACTCACGCAAGCCCTGAGTGAGGGAAAGCAGCATTTACACAGTAAAAACCGTACCATTTTCACGAGGAAACGCGCTGTTCCTACAGCAGCTCCTGCATTGCCCCCCCCGAGCGGCACCTCAGAGAGACCCGGCGGCGAAGAACCGCCCGCCCGCCCCGCTCAGACACCGCCCGAGCACCGGGGACATCCCCGCGCCCCGTTCCTGCTCCTTCTGGCTCAAAACGCACGGAACGCGCACGTACCTCGGCTGGGCGAGCAGGGATGCTCCTGCGGGACACAGGACCTGCGGCGGCTCCTGCGGGACACCCGGCGGCCTTAGGGCGGGATGGGGCGCCCGGCCCCGCCTCCGGGGCGGAGCGGGCCCGCCCCCCGGCACACGCCCAGCAGCGGGCGGGGCGAGCACCCGGGCGGTACCGCGGGCGCTGGACGGACACCGGCACGGCGCCGTTCCGGGGACCCGGGCGGGAGGGACCAGGCAGCCCCCTCAGGAGCCAGACCCCTCAGGCGCGAGACCCCTCAGGCGCGAGCGCTCCCCCTCAGGCGCGCGAGACCCCCCGGGCGCGAGCGCTCCGCTCCCCGGGCGCGTGTCTCCCCCCAGCGCCTGCCGAGCCGCCAGGGGGCGCCCCGCGGGGCACGGACACCACGCGCGACACCTTCACCCCCGTGCACTCACCTGCCCCGTGCCCGGAGCGGAGCGGCCACGGGCGGACACGCGGACTGGCGCGAGGGACGGACCGACCGAGCCCTGGAACAGACGCACCCACGGACGGACCCGGGGACCGCCCACCGCCGCCCCGGGACGCGCCGCCGGTTGCCGCGGCAACGACGCTCGGGCGGTGCTGCGTGAGGTCAGGGGTGGCGGGGCGGGGCCGGCCCGCGGCGCGGCGGCAAGATGGCGTCTACGGCGGCCGGGAAGCAGCGCATCCCCAAAGTGGCGAAGGTGGGTGGGCGGCGGCACCCCCGCAGCCCCCCGGGGCCCGCGGACCCCGGCACGGAGCCGCCCGGGACCGGGCCATGCGGGTCACGGGGTCCCCGGCGCCGCATTCGGCGAACACCGCGCCTGGCGAGGCACCGGAGGAAACCGGCAGCGGGGAGCTTGGCGGGTTCGCGTAGGGAAATGTGAACCGAGCGCCCCTTCCGCTTACCTTGCAGGTGAAAAATAAAGCACCCGCCGAGGTTCAGATCACAGCGGAGCAGCTTCTGAGAGAGGCCAAGGAGAGGGAACTCGAGCTTCTCCCGCCGCCTCCGCAGCAGAAGATCACAGATGTTGAAGAGCTAAATGACTATAAACTCAGGAAAAGAAAGGTACAGTAAAATAACAAAGCTAATCTCGACCCTTAGGTAAAGCACTAAAACTCTACTATTTTCAACTTAGACAAGATGTAGTTTATATTCCTTGTGGACTTTCCAGGCAAGCACCCATTCTTTAGAAACCGTAACTGCTTCATGCTACTTTTGTGCAAAACCTGCAAGTTAAACCTGTGTTGTTTAACGTGGAATTCGGTAGCAGACATCTCCCCCGTGCCCATGTTTGGAACACTTAAACGGTTGTTACATCTATGGGTTACAGGCACTTCCTGCATTACCACCAGCATCTGGCCAGGCAGCATAAGACAATCATGGTTCAGTTTGTTGCTTGAGTAAGATATTTCAGGTATCGGGTTGCAGGAACTCAAGTTTAGTCCTGTAGGACTATTCTACACTTCTAGCTGCTTTGCCCAACAGTTTTTACCGTGCTGTTTTAAGTATGATTCGTTACCACTTCTGCATAGGTGTAAGACATTGGGCATTCATTCCTGTAATAATAATACCCCATAAGGCATTTATAGTACTGGTCTGCAGAAGGATTTCTTACTCACTGATATAATTCTCTCCCCAGACTTTTGAAGACAACATAAGAAAGAACAGGACTGTTATCAGTAACTGGATCAAGTACGCGCAATGGGAGGAGAGCCTGAAGGAGATCCAGAGGTAACCAGGATGCAGCTGCAGGCAGCTCCTATAAACCTTTTGAGGCACACGTTGCCAAACATCAGGGTCCTGGAGGCACGTTATACCTGCAGCATACTTGTGTTTTGCAGAGCCCGGTCCATCTACGAGCGCGCCCTGGACGTGGACTACAGGAACGTCACGCTATGGCTCAAGTACGCCGAGATGGAGATGAAGAACCGCCAGGTGAACCACGCCCGCAACATCTGGGACCGGGCCATCACCACCCTGCCCAGGGTCAACCAGTTCTGGTACGTTGGCAGAGCCCAGAGCAGCTCTTCTGCCCCCAGAGACTGCACGTCATTTGTCTGCTCTGGGATCGTGCCAGAGTGCCTTGTTTCCTGTTTCTTCAAGTCCTCAGGCTAGTCTGAAAACAGAGGAAGGCGAAAGTTTTGGAGTGGTTTTGTATTTTTTTAAGTGGCCAGAGCATTGGGAGAGAAGGATGTTTGTGTGCTTGCATGCTGCCAGTCACAACTGTGTCTACAGGCATTTCTGGGGTGGAGGGGGATAGAAGAAGAAACCTCAGGGATGCTGTTGCAAAGCACTCCAAAACTCCTTGAGTTGCTGTGTTCACTATACAATTGTAGAAACTCAATCTTCTTTCCCAAGGTACAAGTACACTTACATGGAGGAGATGCTGGGCAATGTTGCTGGGTCACGTCAGGTGTTCGAACGTTGGATGGAGTGGCAGCCAGAGGAGCAAGCCTGGCATTCCTACATCAACTTCGAGCTGAGATACAAGGAGGTGGACAGGGCACGAAGCATTTATGAGAGATATATCCTTTTCTGTGCCTTGGAACACCCACTCAAGTTCAGACCTGCATTCTTCCTTTCCTTAATTATTCCATCTCTGGCAATATCTCTGTGCTCCTCTTCACTGTGGGGTGCTGAGAACAAGCCACCACACCAAGAGCCAGCAGTAGGTGGCTCTTGTAAGTGTTTAGGGAAAGCCATCGAATTCAGTGAAGTGGCTGTAGGCCCTGCCACAACATCTATATTTAATTTTGCTCATGCACCCAGCTTTTTCGCAGTCATTTGTTTCAGACTTCTCCTCAAACTTCTCCCTGCCCTTTATCCGGTTTTTATCCCTTTTCAAGTTCTCAGTAAGGCATGTCCTTGCATAACCCCACCTTGGGAGCGGTTTGGTGCAGCCCTTGAGCCCGTAGTCAGCGGGGGGAACACAGCTGGAGGGGCCCCGTTCAGGCAGCAGCGTTTCCTTAACCGAGCGGCACTCGTGATCGTGCACCCCGACGTGAAGAACTGGATCAAGTACGCGCGCTTCGAGGAGAAGCACAGCTACTTCGCCCACGCCAGGAAGGTGTACGAGAGGGCCGTCGAGTTCTTCGGGGAGGAGCACATGGACGAGCACCTCTACGTGGCTTTCGCCAAGTTCGAGGAGAACCAGAAAGAAGTAAGGTCTTCTTGGTAACACATCAGACTAATGACAAGGCTTTTCCTTGAATGTCAAACCCCAAAGCCATTTCACCACAGTTTTTCATCACCTTATGATAAACTGTTAGTCTGAGTTTTTTGCCTGCCTCTAGTTGCCTTTTGGTGACATCAGGAAGGTGTGTTCTAAGCAAGGTGGGCATCAAATCTGCCAAGCCTGAGAGCAGCAGCGTCAGACCAAGCATGTATCCTCAGATCTGTGAGGTTCTGAGAGGTTGTAGCCTGCATGATAAAAAACTGAACTGGCCTGAATGTTTTTCCACTGACAGCCTCTGTTAAGTTCCCAGGCCAGTAAGGAATTGAAAAGGTTCTGTGAACCCCAAACCCACACCTCTTAAATATGGTTTAAATATTCTAAACCTGTAAATGAAAAAGAGATGGTGGGGGCTGACATTTACAGCTTTCCCTCCCCCTCAAAGTTTACTCTTTAGGGAGATCTGCATTAGTCCTGTTCTAAAATAGTCACTTACATAGAGATGTTCCATGATTCTGTAGTCTATTAAATATTGCCAAAAGCTTGTTAAGATACTGTGGGGTAGGACTGAAAGTGCCTTGTAAATATTATTCAAATGATATTTAATGTTTTCAGTTTGAAAGAGTACGGGTGATCTACAAGTATGCCCTGGATAGAATTCCAAAGCAGGATGCCCAGAATCTCTTCAAGAATTACACCATTTTTGAGAAGAAGTTTGGAGACAGGAGGGGAATTGAAGACATCATTGTCAGCAAGAGGAGATTCCAGTATGAAGAGGAGGTGAAGGTATGTGTTACAGGTACCCCTCAGGCTCATTGTGCATCCAGCTGCTGCTTCAGGTACAGCAGTGTCTTGTGATGTGAAGGCTGATGAGTTTTACATTATCCTTGATAGTAAAAAAAACCACCAAGAGAATACCAAGACAATGTTCATTTTGGAGGCAGAATTCTATCTGTGGAGAAGAGAATGATATTTGCACTCACTGCTTTTTTGTTTCTGCTTTCTAATCTAGACTGTGCAGGCAAAGTTTCTGATTGAACTCAGAGCTTGGTACCCTTTGAAGCGACCTGAGGGCATAATGCAGTTTAGCTTGTAACTTACTACTCCAGTTATGGGGTAACCATTCCAGGACACCTCACCTGTGTCCAGGTTGCTTTTTGGGAGGAAACAGCTATACCACTCCTGTCTGCTGTTCACTGAACACTGCACATTTCACCACACCCTCATCCCTTCTCACACTTCATTTAGAAAATATTTGTAGGCACAATAAAAACAAAACTCACTTTAACCCAAAAGCTCTAATGTGGGCATCCCCAAGACTGACAGCGGTTCATTAATGCTCCAATGACCTATTTTAAAGCAGAAATTCCGAGTAAAACTTAAGCAAAGGAGCGGGGTCTGTTATTTGTGGTGACTGAAGCTTCTTCCCTGTTTCCCTGCTCCCACCCTCCTGGAAGGCAAACCCCCACAATTACGACGCGTGGTTCGACTACCTGAGGCTGGTGGAGAGCGACGCGGACGCCGAGACCGTGCGGGAGGTGTACGAGAGAGCCATCGCCAACGTGCCCCCCATCCAGGAGAAGAGGCACTGGAAGAGGTACATCTACCTCTGGATCAACTACGCCTTGTACGAAGAGCTGGAGGCAAAGGCAAGTAGTAAGAACTCAGGTTTTGTTGTTTTGTTTTTTTTCTTTCTTTCACGAGTATTTTCCGTATATTAAACAGCTACTGATATTTTAATAGGAAAGCTGAGAATTAAATATGCTGTGTTTCACTACTTTTGTGCAGTAAGCTACATGATTTACTATTTAAGTATATGGGATTTTTCCCCTTTCAGTTTTCCCTCTTATGCATAGGGGATAAAAGAAAAAACAAACCCAAACTTGTTTCACCCCAATTCATCCAGGAGGATGCTGATAATAAATGCAGAAGTGGGTATTTCTAGCCCCATCTGAACTGCACTGTTACCCGAACTTGTGAAATA